GAGCAGCCATGAGCTGCCAACAGGTGGCGGGATGGCTCAGCTAAAAAAAATAAAAATAAATAAATAAATAAATAAAATCATATGATCAGTTTAACTACTGTTGCTGATCGCAGGAGACAGCTGGATTTGAGGCTGGAGGGACAGTCTGACAGTTGGAAGCTCCAGGCACTGAGAGATTACCTGCAGCTTTCTGTGACATTGACCTCTGATACCAGCAGGCTAATCTCCCCTACTTTTCCCTTTTAATCTCTGATCTGGCAGAGATGTGGTAATTTGGATAGTTAATTAGTATGAAATGACCAGCAGCCCAGAGGCCTAGGTGGGGTTGAAAGATGTCATATTTACTCGGAATCAGCAAATGGTGCCAAATGCTCACTACACATAAGGCACACCGAGCTGCCAATTGGTGGCAGGATGGCTCAGCTGGAAAAAAAAAAAAAGTTTTCAAGCAATTTGACTTTAAAGAAAAATATTAAAAGAATGATAAAAATATGAGATGAATGATAGGTGGTCCACAGCATAGCAAATTTTTTAATGTTAAATTGGTAACTACAGGGGCCATTGATGAAGGGGCTTCTCAGAGGGGGAGGGAATGCAACTGGAAACCCCATACCTAAACCTCCACTCTCAGCTCTCATTTCTGCTTGGAATCTTTCTAGGTGCTCGAAATCACTTCCTCCTCTCCGGTATGTGTCCCCAATGACACTTATTCCACTCTATCTCGGTGGGTTGCCTCCCCATTTGCCTTCCTTCCTAGTGGGGGGCTCTTCTGGGAAATCACTTTTGTATTCCCTACAGTGCTTAGTGCGGAAAGGTAAACTTTGAAGGAGAGAATAAATGGGAGAATGAAAGCACTATCTCCAGCTGTTTCCTGATGATTAGAAAGCTGTGAGGCAAGGAAAGTGATAAAAACTCCAGCTCCAACACTACTCAGAAAACCAGTTTGATTTTTCAGGCAAAAGCAATTCATATTTTAGGATGAAGATAGGTTCGTGACTTTCAAGAATAGTCCACTTCTATTACAAGAACTCCGAGGAGCTTTATCCATGTAAAACAGGTGCCCACAGAATGAGAAGATTCCGTATCTTTTGCATTTCAGGCTCAGCTGATCCTGAGTGGAATCTGACGTCAGTATTTGTCTTTGGCATATTCCCACCCCTCTCACCCATTCCTCCACTTGGATTTCCATTCTTCTTGCCACCCAGCAAGATTCCCTGCTTACCTATTGATGTTCAATGGACTACTCTTCTTTGAATCAAATCCATTTTTCAAGAGGACTGCGAGTTTATACAGTTACCGTATTTGCCGGCGTATAAGACGACTGGGCGTATAAGACGACCCCCTAACATTTCCACTCAAAATACAGAGTTTGTTATATACTCGCCGTATAAGACTACCCCCTCTTCCACACACCTTCCACACACCAAATAAAAGGTAAAACAATATCAGATTTGATTTGGCCCACTGAAGTGCAAACAAGCGTATTGTATTTCGTGTTACCACATAACCGTTTTGGCGATGTTGAGCCACCATGTCTGCTACATGTTTTTCGAGTTCTGGCCAGTGTGGGGTGCCTCTTCTTAATGCACACTTACCCCTTGGCATACTCTTTAATGCTTTCTCATTTGATTTCCAGTCCCGAACCATCTTTTCTGTTACTCCATGTTGTCTTGCAGCAGCACAATTATTATTTTCCTTAGCAAAGTTTATAACTTTCAGTTTAAAATTTGCATCATACTTCTTTCTTTTGGCTGGTGCCATGATAGGGATGATAGGGGTTTGACTGGTTGACATTTTCTATGCTGTACTGTACAATGGTGCAGTATTGTGGTTGGCTGTTGGCTGTATACAAAGCCTGATTTGATTGGTCCCTGCTCCCTGTTTGCCCGCCCTGTCACTATAGCAGTCTGGTCCACCCTTGCATCAGCATCTCCCTGGGACCTCACTAGTGCGCAAGTGCGAGCTCTTCAACATTCTAACAGGCACCATGATAGCGCAAAATCGCGAATCTTCAATGCATATGTAAAGAAATATACGGTAACCCGAATTTACCACACTCGCAAAATCGCACACAGCCGACCATACACCCAGCAGCGCTGCTGATGCCTGAACGGTATGTGGAATGAAGTGGGCGGGCATCGGGAGGCCACTATGGCACGGGGCAAGCACTATGGGCAGTCTATCTGAAGTGTACCTGGCGTATAAGACGATCCCCCACTTGGAGGCATATTTTTCAGGGCCAAAAAATCGTCTTATACGCCGGCAAATACGGTAGTTGAAAGGAATGAAGCTACAATGGTGGGATTATGGACTGGGATGGAAAACCCCCTTGTCTTAATTATTTAGCCAATTGGCTGCTTTGCCTTCTTAACAATTTAAATTCACCCTGACAGCCAAGCAGAACAACTGCAACCTAGCTCTGGTGGCCAGCCTGACCTAGCCAGAAATTAAGTGCATAGCCTCTGAGTCAGACTGCTAGGTTCAAATCCCAGGTCGTCTACTTATGTTGTATGACTTTAAGCAAGTTATAAAACCCCTCCCAACCTGGTGACTTTATCTATAAAATGAGGCTATGTCCTCTTCTTCATCCAGATATTGTGTTCGGTGAAATAATTCATGTAAAGCACTTAGTACAGGACCTGGACCACAGTCGCTATCCAGTACATCTAGCCATTATTCCATTCTTGCATTGGAATGTCCTAATTAATTCATAGAGGCACAGGTACTTGAAGTACAGCCATTTACTTTGTAGGCAGGAGGTATTACCGTGTGGCAGTGGATAGGCTTTTGCTTGCTGAATGACTGTGCAAAACCCATTTATTCTATCTGGTCTGTTTCACATCTGTAAAGCGAGGGGGTCAGGTAGAGATTTTTCCAGGGTATGAACTCAAATGTTTATAGAGCCCAGACAGGTACAATCACTGGTGACTTGGGCTGGGTGTAAGGCATTAGAGAGTGGTAGGGATTCTAGTTAACTGCAAAGCTTTGCTACTCAAAGTGTGGTTCATGGACAGAACCTTGGAGTTTGTTAGAATCACAGAATCTCGGGACCCATTACAGACCTAGATCCCTCTGTGATCTGTATACACATAAAAGTTTGAGAAGGCTGTTATGGACATAAGCCATATAAAGGCATTCAAATTCAGGGTTTTTTTTTTTTTTAATATCAGTCAAAATAACAAACTTAGTGCTGCATCAGGCCTTAGGCTGCCAAAGTGATCATTGTAGTTGGTGGCTCTCAGGTGTTGCCAGCTCTAGGATTCTCTGAGACCGCTCCATTATAAGTTAGGGCTCTAGGCATGTGGATATGTAGCCAAGACCAAGCCTGGGTTGCTTAGAACAATAATCCCTGGAGTGGAAGATGCCTAAGAAGTCATCTGCTCATCTCCCTGCCTTCTAACAGGTAAACTGTTAACTGCCTTCGCTTTGCGGAGAAGACAAGTGAGGTCCAGGGAGACCCACTGACCCAAATCCAGACACTAGGAAGTGGTGGTGGAAACATGAGGAAACGTGACAATCCTGTGATGTTAGAACCAGCAACCATTCTGGTTTCCAAGGCCTGAAAACTCTATTAATTTCTTAATATTCTCCAATGCCTAATAATTGTTCTCCGTTTCTCTCGGCACCTCCCTGCCATTTCCTGGCAGCCCTGGGACAGAAGGTTTCCTCCTTTTGCAGAGAAGGCCCAGAGCCGGCTTCTGAGCGGATATCCGGCCCGCAGGATGCAGAGGCAAAGGCCTCATTGTTCTTGGGGCCAGCCCGCCCCTCCCCCAGCCCAGAGGACACACGTCGCAGACCCCTGGGGTGACCGAGTGCCCATTTCCCAAGAGTGGGGTCTTCAGAAGAAGCAAGGAAGCGAGGCCAAGCGCAGAGCTGGAGTCTGATGTCCGGAGCATGCAGTGGGAAGGCGCTCAGAGCCCTGAGATAAATAAGCCCAGAATTTGAAAACGCATTTCCAACACCGGCTAGACGCTGTTCCTCATTAACGCTCCCCACTATCTCAGGCGATTCTGTCTGCGGTTTTATTAACCTGAATGAGCTTGGCTGTGTTTGATGTGCGGGCCTCGCGTGCTGGAAGGCACTTTATTAGCCAAACGGGCCGCTTCCCACGTAGGGACCCCTAGAGTCCCAGCCAGGCGGGCGCGGGTGGTCCCGGGCGCTGGGGATGCCGTTCGCGAGGACCCGCTGCTGCGCCCTCAGTCCGCGGCCGCTGGGGGGCGCTCGGGCTGCGCGGCCGCCACAGCCGGGTTGCCGCTGAGTCGCAGACCCCTTCGCGCCCTTGCAGCAAACAAAGTATACCTTTGTCAGCAACCGGGCGCGTGTGCGTGAGGCGGCGTACAGTTACCGGGTGCGGGGCCCGCTGGAGCGCCTCGCCAGCCCCTGGGCTGCAGCTCCCGCGTGGGCCCGGCGGAAGGGGGTGCGACGCACGGCTCGGCCGGGCTGACCGTCCTCCCACCCCGTACACGCCCCGAGGGCCGGCCAGGACCCGCACCGGCTCCTGCCGGGTCACGGAGCTTCGCCCGCCGCCGCCGTGGCCTGTGGACTTTCTGGGCTCTCGGCAGGGCGGGAAGCGGACGAGCCGGAACCCAGGGCGTGGGCGTGCGAGTCCGGGCCCCGGGCCTGGGGGCTCCATCCAGCTCAGCCTGGCCGCTTTTGACTCGGCCGCCGCCCCTCGTGGGCCCGTGCCGCGCCCGCCTTCACTCCGGGTGCCGGTTCCCGGGCGGCTCTCTGACTCCCGCAGCCGCACGCCATCCGGCCCCAGCGCGGCGCGCGGGGAAGACTACAAGTCCCAGCGGGCCCCGCGCCGCGAGCACCGAGGCAGGAGGCGCGGCCCGGCCTGACGCCTGCGCAGTTCGGCCGCTGGAGCCTGCTAGTACCACACCCCCGGGAGGGACGGAGGGAAGACAGAAGCATCCGAGGCATTAAAGCATCTGAGGGAGCCGGAGGGGAGGAGAATGGAGTGACAGAGAAACGCCGAGGGTGGGGGGTGGGGGGGAGAGTGCTGAGGGAGGGGGGAGGGGGGACACAGAGGGAGGAAGAAGCGGCGGCGGCGGCTCCTCTTTGCAGAGGGGGAAAACTCCGAGGAATAAGAGCAGGAATAATGCGGTAGGCAAGGCGGGCTCCTGGCTCCCGGCTCCGGCAGCAGCGGCGATAGCCTGAGCAGCGGCCGCGGCAGCGGCAGCAACAGCGGCAGCACCCCCAGGCGCTGACAGCCCCACCGGCCGGCTCCCTCTCTGACCGCCGACTGTCAATGGAGCTGGAAAACATCGTGGCCAACACGGTCTTGTTGAAAGCCAGGGAAGGTAAGAGGCCGGGCTGGTGCTCGCCTGGCTCATTCGCCGCCGGCTAGGGTGCGAGTGTCGGGTGGCGTGTGGGCTGGGACGTGAGTATGCAGGATGCCCGCAGTGAGTTGGTCGCGGGCAGGACACCTCGGAGAGCTGCTCTGCAAACGCTTCAGGGTTCCTGCCCTTGAGCTCAGAGGATCTAGACTTGGGTAGAGAAGGAGAAACATCGAGGCTGCAGGGATTAGGATGCTAAAGTATCCCCTAGTTTTCTGCTCTAACCTTACAGACCTCTCGGCAGCTGTTGAAAGGTCAGTTGGAAGAGCATTTATTCAGGAAGAGATGGGCAAACGTGCAAATAAAATAGCTTTTCGAGTCGGCCCGGGATGGTACTGAGTGTGAATTGGTGTGTGTTGAGGGGGAGGGGGGGTGGAATTAGCAGAAGCCAAGTCTTTGCTTGCGCAGGCTGAGTTGATACAGGCAATTGCTGGAAACCATCCGCTGGGAATGTTTCTTAGGGAAATCCCGTCGTGTGGAAGGAAGCCTTTTAAAGGCAAAGTAAGATGTTGAGGAATTAGCCTGTTCCTAGAATAACGAGAGGATAGCTGTACGAATCACCTAGAAAATAAGTCAGGATTTCAGTTTTCTTTTTTCTCCTTTTTTATTTTTGGCGGGGGGCGGGGGGGCGGTAAGGATGACTAAATTGTTTTATTTTGGCACAGTTGAGAAAAGAAAGGTAAGGGTGCCGGTGCTTGGATGCGTTTTCGGTGCAAATCATTAGATTTCCTGCATTTAGCCGGCAGGAAATGGCTATACGGAGTGGGTAAGATCCTAAAGTCAAAGCTGTAAACACACGTTTTGACGCTTCCTTGAGATGGGGGGGGGGGGGGGGGAGAAAGTGCCCCAGAAACTTAAATGCTTCCTAAAATGATTGTGTGCCTGTAAACATACATATTTAGGAACACCTGGAATTTATGTAACATCTCTTTTGCCAAGATTTGAGCTCTGGCGTGCAGCCTTTTTATAAAACGGGGAAGTGGTTTTTCCCTTTCATGGGAGGAGGCTTTATTTGACACCCAAGGTAGAAGGCAGCCTAAGCAAGGTCTTGACTTCAGAAGGATACTTGGGGAGCAGTCTACGAAAATGCCTTACCTACTTCTTAATATTTTCATTCACCCACTTTGATGAATGAAGGAAGAATTTTTGGCCAGCAATAAAACGATTCGTGTTTATCCAGCCGGTTCCATCACCTTGTGGCTCTGTACACGCTGTGCGGGTTGGGTGATGCACAGCCCATTAATTCAACCCAGCGTTCACGTCGTAATTTCGTCGTCACTTGTCGCTCAAAAGCAGCCGCCTGGAAGGCTTGCTTTGAAAACCCCAGCAAAGTTAAAAATATGCAGGTCCCCCCACCATCGCTCAGCTTTGGCGTGAGAACAGATTTGTAGGAGAGGCTGTTTCTTGGCTACCTCAGGTTCTAAGACCTAATTTGTTTTTTCATTTTTACTAGCCCGAAATTTTAGCGAGCTGGATCAAGGCGAGGGCTGGTGGGCTCTCCCCTGGACTGGGTAGGGCGTCCTGGAGGAGACTGAGCCGAGAAAACAGCCCCCCACTCTCAGTCTTTGCAGCCGCCACCTAGTGGTGGAACATGGTTGTACATCTCACGGCCCGGAGGCTGGGAAAGTTTTTCTCCCTCCCTCCATTCTGAAATTATTTCTTGGGAAATCACTGGATAGGTTGGTGCTGGAGGCTTTGGCAGTTTCACTGGTTCCTCCCGCTGTCCGGGGAATTCTGCTCCCAGAATTTGCTGTTCTACATATTCCTTTGCTTGGGACATGCATTTTTCTTCCCTCCTCATTTGGTTTCATTCTCCTAAAATGTTTTGCTTGGGGTGGGCAAAAGTGTTACCAGTTTTCTTCCCAAAATTGGTCTCTTCAGTTTTTTGGTGTTTTTTTAACCAAAATGAATTCACCGACTGATATTTTGGTTTGTTAGGTTAACAAATTATTTTTTTTTCAGAAACTTAGGGAAGAGCGCTGCAGGCTGGAGGGTTATATGCAATGACGGAATTAACAGTGTTTAAAAGTGCCCAAGAATGTGCCTTACACTTACTTTTGCTTTTAGAGGCTTTTCAATTTCTCTTTGAGAGTTTGGTAGTCAGCTCATGGTGAGAAAGTAGCTCTTGATGATGTCTTTGAAGTGGGGAGGGCCTTGCCTGTGAGGAAATGGAGAAACTGACACATGAATGAGAAAAATTAATCACATGGAAATGGAAACTCGTTTTAAAATTTGCGTTTCTTGCCCTCTTTCTCTGTCTAAACGAGCCCACTATTTTAAATGCTTCCATTTTCTTCTTGCGAGGTCTTCATTAAAAATTTGAGCACATATATGTTAACCAGTGTGGATGCTTTTAGAAATAAAAGCAATTTACTTTTCTCTTCGTTCTCATATACTGAAGCCATTCTTTTAAATTAAGTAATTCTGCAAATAATTATATTATCCAAATATTCAGAAATGAAAGTTCCAGTCAGCTTAGTGAAGTATCTAATATAAAATTTATAGTATCTTAAGAAATCTGAGTTGTTTGGAATGTTTAAAAACATTTCTTACTTGAAGATTCTTGTGAATGGTCACAGATTAGAAATATAATTGGCAAATGTGAAATTTAATTTAGTTCACTTAACAATATATTATTGTAAACAATCTAAAATGTGGCTTTCAAGTAAAAGTCACATTTGTCCCCAACAATAGACAAACAGGACTTGAAGAAAGACAGACACACTTTGCAAATGCTATAAAGGAATTTGTAGTTGACCATGTTTATGGGTAATTTTGGGGCCTATCTTTTGTTATTATTATGCGTTCTGAAAGGCAGATGGCTTCTGATTCATTGTAAATTCAAATTTGTACCATAATAAAACATATAAGTGGAAAACACGAATATAGAAATAAAATAGAAAAACCTATAAGTGGATTGGAGTAAAAGTGATTCACTGTCAGTAACTAGAAAACATAGCAAGCAAATTGCACCTTTGTGACTGTTGTTTTGAAATAAGAAAAGATCTGGATTCAAAGATTTAAACCACTCAAATGTATTTTGTGGGCTATTTATTTGTCCATGAGAAAATACCAACTTGGTCACTCTTAGGAACTCTAGTTTATTTTCCTAAAAAATGGTTAAGGAGGTGTGACTGCTTAGCTCAGTTGGTTAGAGCGTCGTGCTGATAACTCCAAGGTTGCTGGTCTGATCCCCTCATGGGCCACTGTGGGCTGCGCCCTCCTTAGAAGAGTCAACTATGCCATTGTAGCTTAGAAGTAATGTGTAACCAATGACTATGGCTGTTCCCCAATAAAATTTATATTAAAAAAAAACAACAAAAAGGTTAAGGAAAAAAAGAAAGAAGTTGAGACTGAATTTATCCCAATTTATGGAGATGAGCTAAGTGATTAAGCATTTAATGAAGAGACCCAGACTAACTCTATTTATTTACATTTCAGACTCTTATAAAATTGGCCAACAAACTAGTGTTGAAATAATAGTAGTGAGAAAGAGTGTTTGCAGAGTACCTTTTGTATGTTCTTTTGTTGTTGTGGTTGCAGTAAAGGTTTTTGTGTTTTTCTCATATTCTAGATCATTTGCCTCACTCTTGAGTGAACAGTGGTGAGAAGAAATTTTGCAGGGGCCCACCTTTCCTTTCTTCACAGGCCAGCAGTAGCCAATTTAATCAATAAAGATGACAGAAGGGAGTATCGATCACATTTTCCTGAGCATGATTCTAGCAGGCACCGAGCACAGGAACTGAGACGTCAGAAACATAATGACTTTGCCATTGATTGTAATTGCTGAAAACCAGAATATGCGAGAATCATTTCCTCAGATAACTTGGTGACAGGTTGGCCTGGCTCTTCCCGATGATCTAGATTGGGGATCTGGGAAAAGGTGAAGCTGGGGTCTCGCAGAGGCAGGGAGGGCAGGAGGAGGGAGGGAACCACATCCAGCCAGTGAGGGGCAGGCAGCCTCAGCATTCCGCAGCAGGGCTGAAAGCCCAGGCCTCCCTTCTCTCTTTCCCTTGTACCCCAAGTTCATGATGATGAAACTGAAACATTGGTGTTTCATTATTAGACCATTGCAGTGTCTCTGAAGCTCGCTGCCTTCTTACTGCTACCGGCAGGCACACTTATTCCATCCTGTGGCTTCCCCCTTCAGTTACCGCACAGAAGAGCAACAGCTCAATCCTGGCGCAGGCAGCTCAGTGTTGGGCAAAGGCTGCCTCCTGGCCTGTTAAGCACAATGCCGCTAAATGAAACTGCCTTTTATTTTTTCTAAGCTCCTTTTCAGTACCGACAACATGGAGGTAGAAACACCAAAAGCAATGTTTTCAGAAGCCTTGCTCTCTTCCAGAAAGATTTCAAGTGATGATTTTAATTAACCCAGCTGCCTCTTTTTAAAATCATCAGATAAATGCCCACAAGACTCTCATCTTTCAAGAGCTTAGCTGCTTCTTGTCAGATTCTAAACTCCAAAAAGCTTGATTCTTCCAGTGCCCAAACTAATCCTTGTTTAAATTATGTCTTCAGAAGCTGTCACTCTTGTTGTTGCTTGCTAAAGGATACCCTTTTGGTCTGGCCTGAAGGCTTCCGTGATGTCCAAGTGAATTTCCGGAAAGAGCTCAACATATGACCACATTCACCTCTACCAAGGGCTCTTCAACCCGTACCTGGGAACTTCCAGTATTCTTAGGAAACCGTCCAGGACTGAAGGCAATATTTAAAGTTACTATTTGTTGCCAATATATTTGTGGCTCAAGGTAAAGCATTACAATATCAAGATATTTTTGAAATAAAGTCTTATGGTTACAAAAAGATATCACTGCAGTAGATCGTGCAACTCGGGCGAAACTTGAGGAAACAATAGAAAGTGACTACAAACAGGTGACACATAGAAAAGGATATCAGGAATTTCTTTAGTCTCACTCTCCCCAGGCCCACACCTCACATCAAAATAGAATAGTGAAGACAAA